AGGATATTGGGATCACGACACCAGCGCAAGTCTCCTCGCCACCAGCGCCAGTGTTCTCGCCACCTAACCACGCCACCTGCCAACGTCTCCTCGCCACCCTCACACGCCACCTCACCTCCATCAAGGGTCCAAGCTGTGGAGACACGGTCGGCGAAGGTGAAACGACTGCATCCCCTGGTTCTGCCAAAATTGCAGCCACTGACTGTGACGCCCAAGGAGTTCGCCAAGCTTCAAGTCTCGTGTACCACTCTGACGCGGGTTAGGGAGAAGGTGACTTCCGGGAAGGAGGACCAGGGTAGAAATGGGTCTGTTTACAAGTTTGTTTGTATTGATGGTCTGTTACATAGGTGTTGTGTGTCATCCAGGCAACCAGCCAAAGTAGGTCAGATTTTACTGGTTGTCCCTGCTGATTGTAGTAGCAACATTCTCTCTGTAGCTCACAAGAGCCCTCTAGCAGGACAACGTTCCTAGGAGGCTTGTAGGAGCTAGGATTTGTTAAAGGTATGTCAGCTGGAGCAGAGTCCTGTCTCTTAAACCTTTACCCATCATTACAGAACCATTTTCTTGGGTAGCCATAGATTTTGTTGGACCACTCTCGCCCCCTTCTTCTAAGAAGCCTAAGTTATATCAAGCTAATTTGTTAAAGAAATATAATTGCAGGGCCCACATTAACTTTGCTCGTGTCCTTGATGATGTTCCCAAGCTGGAGTCAGTCGAGGCACTACCCTGCAAGAGTTCGTGTGTAGTTCAGGCGCCAGACTCAGATGATCTCGGTTGTCAGTTACCGATAACACCGGATGGTATAGAAGAATCCTCTACGACTGGCAATGGGCCAAAACTTAAACTTGGACAGATGTGGATCCCACATGCAGTTCCTTGATACGGTCTTACGATATTTGAATATCATGTTATCACTTTTTTAATATGACCTTTCTCTAATCTTTATTTTGCTCTGTAAATTTAACCATTTGTTGTAGGGTTGTGAGAAGGTCGCTGCTGCCTCGTCGCACACCAGACACTAGCCAGCCAGCAACACAGCTGCACTTCCTCCGCTGTTAGATTTCAACTCTGGTTGTGTACTCATCTGAGGCTCGTGGGCTGATTCCCAAGTCCTTCACTATTCGGCTGTCAATCTCCGGACACCTACTCCAGCTACTACAGCGGCTTCCACGTCATTGCCACTTCCTCCACGCCCTATCCACCGTCCGTGCCCTGGCGTCTCTCCAGTGTGGCAAGACATCGCCCACCAACGCCGGCGCCAAGTGAGGAA